TTTTTTTTTTTTTTTGGTCTTTTAGTACTAGTTATTACTAAGTAGATCATATATATATATATATGATTAGGATTTACAAAGAAATTAAACTAATCATGTTTGTGTTAAACCAAAAAAACTGAAAAAAAAAAAAAAAAGAAAAAAGAAAAAAGGAAAAAACAGAGGCTAGTCAGGGGCATACCTTTGCCTTTAGCTTGTTGTGTGAAAAAAACAGAGTGAGAGCATTTTGAGTGTTCGGGGGAGAGTTGCAGAGATTGCGTAGATTTAACCGCGCGAGGTGTAACTTTGGTCAAGGAACGGCGAGTGTATATAACATAGAATAGAAAGAATAGACAAAGAAAAGCAGAGCTCGTGAATTCAGCTGTAATCAACACTGCTGTCGCTCATATCACTGTTGACAAAGGATAAAGATTAAAAGCACATTCGCTTATTGAATTATTTAAGTAATTTAATAATAATTTTTAAAAAAATAAAAAATAACAAAAAATTATTTGTTATTTAATAAAAAAAAGATTATAATTTTAATTAAAGGTGAAGATTAAAATTTTAAATATCAAAATCTATTAAAATATTTAAATAATTTTAAAATTTTAAATATCAAAACTTCTGAAATTTTTTTTCAAAACATTATTGACGCCTAATTTTAACTTGGAATTAGCATGTTGCACTGATGGATCCCCTTTTTCTTGGAAGGGGGTAGAAAAATGGGCTGAGTGTGAAATCAACAAATCAAAGTAGTTGGAGAAAGAAAAAGAAAGAAGAGGGGAGTCTTTGAACCTTATTTCGCCAAAAAAAGTTGTGTGGTTGATCATTTGTACGAGTCCCTAATTTAGCCAGTTATCATTTTTTTTTTTGACCAGTAAAAAATTGAAAAATGAGAATAGTTACAATATTAATGCAATAACTTGAACCCTTAACAAAGAAGTCAAGGGCATAGGTGCACTTCCACTTCCATTGCCGCTAAAGGCCGCAAGTGCAGCCAGTTATCATTTATTAGCTTGTTGTTTTGAAATTTCCATATTACATGCTTTAAATCTGTTTATAATGAAATTAAAAAATAACAAGATAAGAAACTAAATAAAATCTAAATTTTTTCTGTCCCTAATGAAATTTAGAAATAACTAAAAACTAATGAGAAAGAACAAGAAATAATTATATCTATGAAATTCAACTAAGCAACTTTAATTAAAAAAAGATAATTTATAAAAAATACTAACAAGAAAAAAAAATAAAATCTGAAAATTTTTTTCTTTCCTGATGAAATTAAGAAATAATTAGATAAAAAATAACAGGAAATATTTGCATCTAATCAAATTAAACTAAGCAGATTTGATTCAGAACGCAAAGGAAGCAACGGCAATATTTGAAAAGATGAAAATAAGAAAAGGCAGACAGGTATATGTAAACTAAATCAACAGCACATATGTAAATATAAAATAAGTACCTTCTAATGCTAAAAGCAGGGGAGATGCCTTCGAAGTTCAAACAAGATAAAAAGGAAGAGGGGTGAGTATGGAGGGTGCTTTGATTTTGCTTTGATTTTAGTTAAGAGAACACTCCTCTTCAATTGATTCCAACCCAACCGTCGGTTTCAGTACCACAGACAAGGCAAAAGGCCAAGTAGTGTTAGTTGTTAAAATCATAACTAAAAAAAGAGACGAATGTATAAATCAAATTAAATGAGATGCCTGTTAAGTGAATATAGAACTAGTACCTTTTTGGCTTTTGATTTCCTCTGGAATGTTAAATGTTGGAACAAGAAAACAAGATCTATTGCATGACAGAGCAAAAGAGTCTTTAGAGTGGAATCGAGTTTTGCAGGGAAGGTTTGCGAGAATAATTAAGCTTTGGTTTTGGGAGAGAAATGAAAATGGGAAAGTTAGGTGATTGGTCCTTTTATTAATTGATCACACCAGTCACCACGCTGTTTCCGCGAAAGATTAGATACCAAGTGGAAGACCAAGAAATTAAGCACATCATTTCAGTCTACTCTCCTTACTTTTTCTTTTTCCTTTTTCTCTTTTTTTTGATTGGGCGATAAAGAAAATAAAAAGGAAGATAGCTGGTTCCTTCTTGGAAAGTAAGTTGAAGTACTCTTTTCTTTCTTCTTCTTTCTCCATGTCTCTAACGACTTTGATTTGTTAAATTCATATTCACACTGACATCAAATCGACTCTTTTTTATTACTAATTTGCTGGAAAATGACGGCAAAGGACAGCAGCTTATGTTGACTCCTTGATTACAAGTGCTGTCCAGCAGGTCAGCTCTATTTTTCTAGCTCCCTCCAGGAAAAAGTGGATCGATAAACACATCGTGCTATTAGATTAGGTGTCCTAATGCTTTAAGAAGAGTGAAATTTTTTCTTTTTTCACAAAGGCATCTTTGGTTAGATGGCTAATATTACCAAAAAAATGGTTAAAAAATATTATATAAAAAATTAATAATTATTGTATGATAAGTTAATAAATTTTAAAAATAAATTTTGTTAAGTTATTGATTTTTTTTATATTTAAGAAGAAATTAATATAAAAAATCGATAAAAAAATTATAAAGTGAATTTTATATAAAAAATTAAGGAGAAACTCTTTTCTTTTAAAATGTAAAAGTCTGGAAAGAAAAAGTTTACATATTAAAAAAAATTATAAGTTAAAAATTAGATGAAAAAATAAATATTTAAAAATATATTTTTATTTTTTTATTATAATATTTTTTAACAACAAAAACATTTATTAGTAAAATATTTTAAAGCACAATAAGTACTCTACTCATCAAGATTACACCTAGATACCTGCCCAACTCGTTCCTTTTCATTGCTTTTACAATGTGATACACAATCAGTGAGATTAAAAAAGGTTTAAGTACCATTTTAGTCCCTCAACTTATCACTTTGGTATCAAAATTGTCCCTCAGCTTTAAAAAGTACCAAAATTATCCTTTAACTTTTATTTTTGGTACCAAAATGGTCCTTCCGTCAGTTAAACGACAGGTGGCTCGTTAAGATGCCACAAAATCACCGGCTTTTTTCATTTTTAATGACGTGTAAATCCAGCAAGGGCATTTTTGACACCGTGGCATTTTTACACGTCAGATTGCTCCCCCACTTTTTGTGGGGCCCACATGAAAAAAAAACAAATTGTTTTCTTTTTTCCACGTCAAATAAAAATGAATTTATAAATTAAATGAATTTTAAAATAATTAAGTTAATTAACTTTCATTTCATCATTTTCTT